AAATTCAATCTAATTTAAAAATTGAGTACCAGTACCTGATGCAACACTATTAACAATATCTTTTGTGCCGTGTTTGCCTGCGAATAAAGTATTTCATTTCATTTCATTTCAAATGATAATAAAGGTAAGGAATAAGGTCTATAATTGGACATCTAATTATGAAGTGCGATTATCGATTGTGACATTGCAACCAGTTCATTAAATCAGTTGACGTACATGCTATTTATGTTTTGTACAATATTCTCGCATGTTATTTGCTCTAAATATTTGTTAACTACTTTAAAATTAACAGTAAATAATATATATAATATATCTTTGGGTATTTTTGTTTTCGAGAATTGAAAAATTTGATAATTTTTGATTATAATTTCCATATGTAAAGTCGCCTCAAAATTACTTTAAATCTCTCTCGTTCTCTCTTTCAAACTTCAACTAATACATCGTTTAAAATGATAGTGTACGAGGTGAGTAATAAAAATCAACAAGTGGAGTTCAATTATATATTTGTGGTATTCTTCATTGTTCAAGTCTTATTTTTATAATTTCACCGCAGGTAGTAAGCGTAAGGAGAGGCATACGTGTAAGGAGAGTACGCGGCAACAGGCGCAGTATACGCTGAATACGCCACGGGGGCAGTGTACGCAGCAGCAACGGGGGCGGTATACGCCGCAGCTACTGGAGCCGTGTAGGCCATAGGAAACACTGGGGCTTGGCGGCGGCCAGGGCCTGAAGGCATGCACTGATAAACTGAAAATATTTATAAACATATATAAAACTTTGACTCTATGCTAGAAGTAACAATAAAGTCATAATGTCGGACCGTAAACAGGCTAGCCAACAAACATTATTTGCTTGTGGAGTAAAACTTATGTAAGTATTTATAAATATAATGGCGTGCAGTCTCGGAGCTTTCGGCGAGTCTATTGTAATTTGCAATCGGAAGCAGCTCGTGTTACCACATCTTAATTGACAGACGCTATCTATATACATAAGAAGTCAAAAAGGATTACTTTACCAGCTTGAACATTTATTTTATTTATTTTTATTTTTATTTTTATTTTTATTTTTATTTTTATTTTTATTTTTATTTTTATTTTTATTTTTATTTTTATTTTTATTTTTATTTTTATTTTATAGATAAGGTACACCAACACTAGTACATATACTCTTAGATAACATTTTGTTGATTGTTGTATTCACTGATCTACAACTGAATGATTCAAAGGATGTCGGTGGCCAACTTTATACTAAAACACGAAGGTCGATGCACGCAACTTGAGGATAGTCGCTCGGGACAATACATAACTTGAATTACAATGAGACTATCTTTTTGATATTGAGGACAACTCAGGAGGGAGAACTGGTCGCTATAATTACTATAGCGACTGAAATATGGAACTATTCAATAACATTTTGAATATATTTTAATAATTAATTTATACCTTAATAATTCCGTACAAAATATTTTTTATTTATTGCTTCACTTACAATTATTAAAATAAATGAAATATGTTGAAGATCTTACGTAATTGCACAACTAATTACGAGTGAACACAGCTTGTAAAACTACGTAAATACAGATAAATATAGACTTCAAAACAATAACAAAACGTAAAAAAAATTAATACAAACAAAACAATAAATGCAAGAGAACACGGGTCTCGGGCAGTAACGAATTAAATGGGAAAAAATAAATTTAATTCTGGTTTCTTAGGTCAACTTATGCCTCAGGGTGACGGGCGCACTGGGAGTGCCCCTAAGATCTTTGCGATTTAAAGCTCTGAGTTGCACTGCAACTGGATATGGATAGGCGTGTCGCTTACCATCAGGCACACGACTTGTTCGTCCCATCACTTGGTATTAATAAAAACTCACTAAAATCATTACATCAATATGTTCATTTCCTCATAGAGTGGTAAATAAGCATTATTGAGAAAAAATGGACACAAGTTTGGTGAGGGTATTAATAACACTGTACAGTTCCAAACAATCACGCGAATTGCCTCATATCAAACTCGGGTACTTAATGTAACACAAATTAAATCAATTAAGTTATTTTGCCTCTGAATTTGGATTTCGTAGAACTTTCAACGAAATGCCAACAGGATAACGTTTAAATTATATTAAGAATCCAGAATTTGTTATTTCTTTTTAAATTTAAAACTACAACCAATCAATATCAAGATTTTTAGTGTTTCAAATCAAGAATGTGTGAGTTTTGGCGACATCGGTTCTGACAGTAATGGAGGCTTAAGACACTTCCAGTGAGAAACACACGAGATCTTTAGAATCATATGCCAGACTATGATATATGACAGTCTAAAATTAATGTTAGGTATGGCCACTTATACTATGCTTAAATAACCACTTACATATACATAATTAAACTTAACACAATGTATTAAGAGTATCTTTTGCCATGTAAGCATTGAATTAGGACGTACTTAAGTTTAATGCAAGTGGACATCTGAGTTTATCATCAATTATAATAATAAATGGGACTATTAATGCTTCACATAATCAAATTAAAATTAAATTTGGTGGTAAAATAGTTTAATGTTTAGCACCCTTAGTATTTTTTATTCCAGACCTGAGACAAAGTAGAATAAAGCTATTGTTTACGTATATACCTAGTATACTGATATTTATTTTGTTGTATTTATTAGTAAACATGTAAAGTGTGGTCAGGTGGAGCAAGAGGGCATATTTTATTTTGAGTCAAATATTTTGAGTTTTAGGAAGAACAGACAGACTTATAAGAATTATGAAATAGACTAAACTTGAATTTGTTTATCGGCTTTACATGTTTTAACAATCACTGTTAAATTCAGCTCTTACCAAAAATGTGCATATTGTGCTAACGTTTCTTTTCTTCTGATGTAGGATGGGGTACACTTACACAGGAAGAGTCATCGTATTTCCTATAAACGTAATAAATAATGGGTAGTATTTAACCGTTCACCCAAAAAGCAACTTTTTTCACAACCAAATATGTCACTTCCCCAACAAAAGTACTGATTGCTCATCAAAACATGTACATCAAAAGAAAAGTAATATAGCGTTATGTACTAAAATTATTGCATAACATTTTATTGCAATGCATATCTAACATCTAAATACATATCTAATATTTCTGGCATAAAACACGTTTGTTTATATATGACCACAAATTTATGATAAAAACATACCTATTTCACTAAAAGGTACATCTGTCTATCGGAATGAAACATAATTTTATTGGATATAATGGTCTAATTGTACAATTTGTCTAAAACAATAAGATAAACAAACAAAAAAAATTGCAAGCAAACATTGCAACATAGTCTGATGCTTGAAACTCGTAGTATTTTTTTTGTATTTGCAAGTAAAGCTTCAAGGTTCAATTTAGTTCCAATATTATGAATTGCTTAGAAGAAAATCACACCCAAAGCTTAAAATATAAAAGCAGAAAATAATCAAAAATATTAAAATAACTTTTATTAACCTTTGCCCAGCAGTGAGATAAAATAGGTTAATAAAAAACAACTTTTATTGAATTATTAATGCGGGTCTTGCTTTCGCAGGATGTCCACGCTTCCTTTTCTGTCTGATTGGAGCATTTTTGGCGTATGCTGGTGGTACCGCATACATGAGCCAGATCGCGAGCCCTACAACATGACTGTTTGTATTTATAGTTTATGAAAAAATGAGGGCAGTTTCATTTGCACAGCGTTGTAGCTCGTTCTTTATTCGGGTATATTGTATCAGACTCAAGGTTGTATACGCAAGAGATAAAGAGTCCCGATTATTTTTAGTAAATCAGATGACATTTTTGAAATAATGTTATGCAATATGTGTTATTTGTTATATCATTTATTTGATTTATTGTATAAACGTAGATAATTCGTGGAGCAACTTTTGAGAAAAATTACGGTAATTTTCTTTAAAGAATTGTTAATTCGTTTAGAGTTAATTTAAATTTATGTGCAATCAGTATTTTTGTTATGTAAACCATATTTTTGTTAATAAATTAACAATTTCGTTGTACACTGAGAAATTAGCAGACCCCCGAGGAGGTCATACTAGTTTTGTTAGACAGTTGTTTTATTTGTAGTGAAATATTTTTTTAGATGTGAAAGTTATTTGAATAGTGAACATAATTGTATATGTATTAAGTTTTCTGATATGCACTTAAATATTTCCCTAACAATACAAATTTCTTTTTTGTGTTTATACATATTGGATTTAGAGCATCGCAGCTCTTTGAAATCGTTTAAACTAATTTGTTTGTCTGTTTTATCTTATTTTATAATATCAAGGGACGGGACAAACAAGTTCTACGCCCGATGGTAAGCTACACGCCTGTCCACAACAGTTGCAGTGACACTCAGAGCTTGAAATCACAAAGATCTGAGGGGCACTGCCACTGCGCCCGTCACGCTGAACACTAGTGACATGTTCCATGTGCCTGTAATTTCACCAGTACCCTTACCCTTTAAAACCGGAAGACAGTAATACTAACATTACTGCTTGGCGGCAGAAGTAGGGAAGGTGGCAGTACTACTAATACTGCTATTATATACATATATTATCGACTGACATACTATATGCTAAACTCTTCAGATTATAAGTTAAGGCTTCAAGTCCTTCTTCCCCCGGTATTCCTCTTACGCCATCTGACCTTTACGTAATAAAATTTACAATACATATAGGTACGTACTCCAAATAACAGACTTTCGTTATTGCTCAATTCTTCGTTATTAGGTCATATGCCTAATCATCAATGATGTTGTAGTAGAAGTTGATTGGAAAAATAATTAGTCGGTACTAAGAGGCGTCAAGTGGATCAAATCGTGTGGGTATAAATTAAAAAACTGGATATTTATCAGTACCGTTATTAATGAAAACTTTTAATCACCATTTGGTAAAGTAAATTAAACCATAAAACTGAGACAAATTGGAGATGCGGTAGATGCTTCATTTCGCTATAAAGGGTTGTGTTGTGCATAATGGAGACCATTACAGCTTTCGCCAGGATTCTAGAATAGCCAATACCACATACCTACGGACTTAAAAATGTTTGGAAAATCGGTAAGTTCTAATTTACTTTAAAAAATATTCACTCAGACGAATAGATAATTGTTTGGCAAAAAATTAAGGTTCTTATTTGAGCAATATTTTTTTATTTAAATTGATTGTTATAACTTTAGGTGTACTCGTATGCGTCGTAATAATATCTATAACTTCATGAAATTACTGAAATGTTAAATTATTTCGCGTTTTTGCAGGCATTGTTCATTGTGGTACTGACATTGGCAACTGCATTTGGTACCCCTGTCGGACTCGGAGGACTAGGAGCACTTGGAGGACTCGGCTATAATGGACTCGGTGGATTTGGTGGAGGGCTCGGAGGACTAGGATTGGGATACGGCGGTATGGGAGGCATGATGGCAAGACCTGGTCTAGGTGGTCTTGGTGGTGCTTACTTGGGTTAAGTCCTATGATCGATATAAAGGGTCTTAGGTCGTAGTCTATTCTTTAAAGTGAAGTTTATAACACAAAATTTGTAAACTGTTAATCATCTATTGTTCCAACTTTACGTCTAAGCCAGGCCAATAAAACTATGATTTGAAAATGTCGTTTTGGTTAAACTAACGCTATATATATAAATATAATTCATTAATTTCGATTTTCAAGTATTTTGTGTATTTTGAATTTGAATTGTATTTATCAATAAGACATTATCTACACTTATCAATAAGACATTTTTCATACCCAAGTAATTTTTAATACTCGTTTGCATTTCCTAACATTAATTAACATACCTACATGTAGCTGTACAGATCTCATTTAGTATTTTATTTTATTTCTATTTTAACTTATTGGAAAACCACGGCTATCATACTCCGTATAAGAAGTCTTATGAGAAATCGGTATGTAATCCGTCTCTCCTATAGAATTCGACGTGTTTCCAACTATCATTATTTGTTATTTGATTCACTTTGACTTTGTGTAAAAGTGAGTGATT